AGAAATTAAGCAAACTAAACAAAAAAGAAACAGTTTTTCACAGACGATTGAGTATTTCTCATTCAATTAATTCAGTTTTCACTTCGCGACAAGGCAAAATACATAATAAACTAAAAATAGTTCTGTTAAAATTTACACAAATTAAGAAGTAAATCTTAAACGCTTATTTCCTCGAAAAATTCCAGAAAGGATTAAGCACGATTTAATTTGCAATAATAAATGAAGGCGTTATCTTTGTTTCTTGCGAAGCTAAGTTTCTCTAGATTGGCAACAAATCCGCTATCCTGCTGTTTCAAATGTAAACAAGAGCAATGGCCGTCATCAAAAACATTATTAGGCTTAGCGGCACTTAAACAATTTTTAAATTGTTGATAATTCTAAAAATATTGCACAAAGATTTACTAAAAACATAAAAACCTTAACCGGAAAATAAGAACAACATAATTCAATCATTTTTAAAGCAAAAAATGTACAATTTAAAAACATATAAGAGTAAACAAACTGAGATCACTGAGCCGGGTAACAGAGTGGATATATATATAAATATATTTATATATGTTTGGTGCGGCTGATATCAACCAAAATACAAGGTGCACATCTACATGTTATAGCAGTCCTGTATACAATATTTCAACATTCTGAGGCTACTCGTTTTTGAGTTATGCGAGATACGTACGTACGTAAGTACATACGTTCGTACAGACGCCACGAACGTACGTAAGTACATACGTTCATACAGATACGTTCGTACAGAGATTGTGCGTACAGATACATTCTCTTCAGAATTAATTTTAAAGCAGTTTTATAATTTTTTTGGAGGAAAAGAGTTTTATTCTGTCCTTACGTACAGATATCATTGAAATACATCGTTAAATTGCATTTGAAAGAGGTCAAAATAAGATATTTTCGTTGAAATATGCTGCCTGAAACTTTTCGCAATTACAATACTTCCTTCGTAGAAGGAAGTAAAAAATCGTGTGAATTTTACTCAGGAAAGAAACAAAATTATTTAATATGCTAAGGATTCTAAACTTTTTATTTTGGTTAAAATTTCTGCAATTTAAATGATTTGTGCTGTTTTGCAAAAATATGAAATTCTTTTTCATTAATTTTTTTAATTTTTCATAAGTATGTGTGAGCAAATTAAGTAACGAATTATAAGCTATTTAAATTATTCATAGGGAAGGATATTAAGGTATCGATGTGTTGAAAATTTTGAATTGTTGATGAGAATTTTTAAGTGAGTGAAATAACTATGAAAAAATTAGTAGAAAATATGATAAACAAATAGTGTTTTTTAGTAGTAGTATAGAAATCGTAAGTAGTATAGAATTATGTTAACTGATTAAAAAATTTACAGATCATAATATGCTTAGATAAACTTTGAAGGCTCCCACTTTTATTTTTTTTCCGAATATAATAATTTATATATATATTTTTTTAATATAATGGAGTGTGGTTAATTTTTTTTTATAAATGGGGTGTTGTAATGCAGTTCACAAAGGCCAGTTACCTTATAAAAGGAACGGAGGCCTTTCCAAGTAACTGCCCAAATAGCTGGAAGTGTGTACTAGGAGAAAGCTGTGGGATCTTTCAGTTTGTATAAAATAAGTCAATTAAAAGTTTCGACAATAATAGTATGTTATTTAAAATGAAAATTTAATTACATTATAAAATTTTGAAATTTTTGTAATGTTAGTGGATGTGTTTGAAATTTTTGTATTTGAAAAAGTTTTAAAAGCCTTTTCTAAATAGATATGATTATGAAATTTATTTCCTTATTTTATATTCACAAAATTATATTGTCCATATTATTATTGTAGGGCAGTGTAGGATTTAATATATCTTTAATTTTGCATATTTGTATATTTTTTCAATTTCAATTAACTAGTTTGAAGATTTTTTATACTTTTAAACTTTGATAATTATACAATACTAGAAGCCAGTTACCTTTATTAGGGAACGGAGGCTTCTATGTGTAATTGTATTTAAGCATCCCACAGCCATCAGCAAGTTGTCACGCTGATTTGCATTGTAGAGGATTTGCCCATTTTTATCAAAGTTTATATTGTTATTGTAATGAATTTTTTTTTTTACTTATTGTGTATCAAGTTCTAAATTCCATTTTACATTGCTTTACAATTAAGAAAATGTGAATTATTTTTAATAATTCTAATTTCATGAATCTGTAAAAGAAAATTTTGGTTTTATATTGGCAAGATCAATTTCATGAAGGACTTTCGAGTTAAGGACTGCGAAATATTGATTATGATTAATATTTAAGCAAAGATTTTACAGAACTGTGAACTTTCTTGAGAAAAATTAGGACATTCTTTACAATGAACTTGAAAACTTTTAATTTTCAATAGAATTTTTAGTTTGAATGTATTGTTAAAAATGATATCTGTAAGGTTTTGTACTTAAAAAAATTATTTATATCAAAATTTTGTGATTTTTTTCTCACTTTCGTATTTACCTAGTTTTGCTAATTCTGTAATGCTTTCTTCTAAAAAAGGCTTTTCTGTCGCCAAGCCTTTTTCTCTTTGAAGGGGGAGGATATGTAAGATAAAAAATATGTGAATCAAAATTATAATTTAAACTAACGGTAAAACATTAATTCTCCCTCTCTATTCTAAAAATTGCAATAATTTTTCTGGATTGTGTCATTTTTAGATCATTCTATGACCTGTGCAACTCTGATGACATAATAATTGGGAACTGAAACTACCATTATAAACGAAAACTTTTCTCTTCGCGCTTCCATCTTTCATAGCTATGCACTTCAGCTTCTGTCTGTGCTGTGCTTGGACGCAATTTCGCTACACTGCTTCCTATTGCAATAATATCAATAATGTAAATGTTCTTGAACATGCACGATTAGGGTGCCAAGTGATCTGTGGCTGCATAATGTCAGTTGGAAATAAAAATGGAATTAAAATGACCTCGACTGCCAAGTTTTATTTACGAAGTCAATATATTAGCTTACGATGCAATCAGAATACTTCTTCTTCAATATAGGATAACTACGTATCAACAGTGTTTCGGCTTTTCCTTTGCTTTTATTATGTCATATATATATATTTTAAAGATATTCTGAGTTTGTTGTTAAGTTTTATATGACAACATAATATTGAGTTTTATATGATTATAGTGTGAAGAAAGTGATGCTTAACAAATAAAGCTAAAATGACTAGTGAAAGAATTGGCCATCTAATTAAGAACATTGAGCATTGGTATGATAAACTGAAAAAAGACTGAAAAAGAAATGTATGGCAACACTTAAAACTCTGTCAGTAATTATAAATATATGCTGCTTTTAAAAATTTTGTGATTAAGAAGTCACTGATTCAAGAATCTTTATTACTGTATGACCATAGGATGTACTATGATTGATGCAGTATTTTCAAATCAAAGTGAGAATTAATGTATACCTGAGCACCATCATTGTCCATTGTATAGGGGAATAGAATTAAAAGAAAAAAAAAAAGTAGTGTTTGTTATGAACATTGAGCCATAAAGTTTATAAACAAATTTGATTTTATTTATAAGCAATTAAGCAGCAATGTTAGTGTACTGAATGCCTGTTGCTGTTCCACCTATTCCATGTCTTAATATGGAATTGGCAAGAGTCGTGCTGGCCACATCAGTTTTTTTTTGGGGGGGGGATTCCAGCATCTCAACCTTGATTATTTTATCTCATTTTTAACTACATTTTTTATTATTGTTGACAGAAATATTTGAGAAATAGGCTAAAATACCCCTCCCTCAAAAAAAAAAAAAAAAAAAAAAAAACCCCGCTGCATTAGTGTAATACTTAGTTAAAACTTACATTGTGACCTTGATGCAGCTGCAGAAAAATAGATTCTGCGATTAATCAGCAGTATTCTTTAAAAAAAGGGGGGGATCTGCCAGTACTTGACAGTATTTTATAACTAAACACCATATTTCCTGCAAACTAGTCCATGCTAGTCTAATATTTGGAAGTATATGATTTCTATATTCTGCAGCATGTTGCGTGTTTCTCAGATTGTTCAGTAACAATAAGATCTGGTAATATATAGTCATGGCAAGGATCATCAAATTCAAATGTATATTCCTATAATTTGGCATCTATAGATTAAAGTTAGCTGTGCACTGCCTTATTATAATTATTAAGCTATAATAATATATAATATTATATATTATTAAGCTAAAGTCATTAGAATGAATACAGGGCATGAATAAGCATAACTCATCACAAAAGATGTACATGTAGTTGTTCTCTTTCAGGAACATTTGCAAAAATACCAGTAGCCTAAGCATCAGCTAAACAAATTCCATGTTATTATTAGGAAGTCATCATAACCTGTAGAATCACCTCTTAGCATGCACAATTCATAGATTTTTAGGGTTTTCTTTAAATATTTCTCCTTCCATTAGTTTTAAATATTTGGAAGTATGATTAATCATAGCAGGCTTCTTGTTTCTGCTCATTAAGTATCTACTTAACTGATTTATTTAACCAATAGGAGTTGCATAGCTCTGTATTTGGCAATCATTGGGGTATTCTGACTGGGCACTGCTTTCTAAAGCCCTATAATAAAGGGAGCATTTTGTGATCTTCATACTGATGTATTCTGAGACCATAGCATCAGATTTTAGTGTTACCCGAGAACACAATCAGACATGCGTAGGTAATGTTCTATATGTATTCTGCATGGGTTTATATGTGCTAGTTCCCTCCTTTTTCTCTTTTGGCATTTTGATCTATATCAACATGTCTGATATTCTCTAATGAAAATATTTTGTTATGTTTATTAATTTTTGTCATACTCCTCTACATATATTTACATGGATTTATTCTTTTAGGTGTATTTCCTGTATATTTAGAAAATAAAGATCATCATGAAATTCTGTGTGCTTGCCATAAATCATTAATGTTGATGTATATAGAATTTCTTTGTTTTTAAAATTATATCTGTGTTTATTTATTTATTTATTTATTTATTTTTTCTTTTCAGGAAAGAAACTATTTTAGTGAAGAAGAAAAAATGTTCTTCAGCAAGGTAATAGTAATCAGCTTTTGTTAAATTTACTTTTTGTATTACTTCCCTCTCTATATCTCTAATTTAATGAATTATTTTTATATATATGCATTAAAAATACAGTTGACTGCCTATTGTTATTAGTTCTATATGCTGCTATTTAAGAACTCAATAAATGTTAAACTGGCAAATACCAAAAAAAGAGTAGTTTAATTTTAGTTTGTATAGTCTGGGTGAAAAATTTTTAGTGGAATTCTATATAAAAGTAATATTTAAATTAATGAACAACACTTTTAAATTGTATTCTATGTATTAGTTGAACATTTATAAATAACTGTAAAAGTAAATGGAAACAAATTTGCACTCAAAATTGATTGGAAACTTTAAGATAATAATTACAGGTAATGTAATTGAACTATGTAAAATCTTCTGTTAATTTTTACACAAAGTATTTTTCTTTTAACGGTATAAACATTTCTTAAAATAATGCTAAAATGTATGAGTAACTTGACAAAAATATTGTGTAGTTAGGAATTATAAGTTGCTTAAAACCATGGCAGTTTAGGACATTAAAAAAAATCCTCAAAATATCTTTATGTATATATACTAGCAGCTTCGCTGCCAGCCTTCCTCTGGCTTTTAAATGTACCAGAAAAATGGTTGAAGGGAACACGAAACGTTAAATTTAAATTATTATTAACAAAACATTAAATTTAAATTATTATTAGGATAATTAACATATATTAATTATCCTAAAATAAATTAACCAACTTCCCTTTGCAAAATCTTAAGAACTCAATGGTATAAAGGGGTTAAAACTTTGTTTCCTAAAAAATTAAACGTTCAAAACTTTTTAATATCCTAAAGACAGTGAAATGAGCAATAAATAGCATAAAATACAAAAAATAAAAAATTTGAAAGGCAAGTTAATTAATGAACGGGGCTATCCAAAGTAGATTACGTTTGGAATAAAAAAATAAACAAAGTAGAGGAAAACAATTTTATATATCAGATGAAGCCACACTCAAATATACTTTTTATAGTCACCATATAATTAAGGCATTTATCGTAAATTCCTTCGTCGAAAAAATTCGGCCGCCTGCGCCTTAACCACTTCTTTACCTCTTTGCACCTGTGCGTCGTCATCAAACGCTGCTTAACTTCTTCATTGCTGGATAGGGAATAGGCACCCATTTTTCGTCACCATAACGATGCAAAGTAAAGAGTCACCATCCTTATGGTAAGCGTCCAAAAAGTTCAACGCTGCGCCATTCGCTGATTTTTGTGGTCCTCTGTCAAGATTTTTGGAATCCATCTTGCACAAAACTTGTGGTAACCAAGCTTTTCGCTGATGATTTCGTCAACAAACTTCGCGAAATTTGTGGAAAACTCAAAGAAAGTTCCGTTATTGTGAAAAAAAAATTTCGATTTTCACGGACTTTAGCATCGACTTTTTCGAGAAGTTCGGCGGTCACTATGCTGGGTCTCCCACTTCGATCGCGTCGTGAAATTGGTTCAGCCATTTGAAATCTTATGACCCACTACGCACTCCACCTTCCAGTGATAATGTTGTCCCCCCATACACTTCACGAAGCTGCCGATAGATTCTATCGGTTTACAGTTTTTGCAGTCAGAAACCTTTTATGAGCGCGCACCTCGCAGCTCGCGGGATTTCAATCAATTAACGCAAATTCAAAACCGTCACAGTGAATGGAGACAGCACGAACCTCTCGCTAGCAGTACGGGGCTAACGCTTGACCCCAAGATGGCCGCGCTAGCCCCGCCCCTAGCGACACAGACGGAAACGTAAATCTACTTCCTGGATTTATCTTATATTTTCAAGAGAAAAAAATTACAATGAAATAAGCTATATCCCTTAATACAAATATTAATTATCCTAATAAAAAAATTAACCAACTTTCTGTTGAAGAATAAAAAATCATGCAAAACTTTTCAATATCTTACAAATAGTGAAATAAGCAAAAAATAACATGAAAGGAACTCAAAAAACAAAAAATTCCGTGCAAAATTTTACTCTGTAGAGCAACTTTATCAAAAAACAAAAATCAATAAAAGTGTATTATATATATAAAAAAATGACAATGAAATATGCCAATCTTTTAAAAACAGTGACATACGAAATACGATGAAAAATTGTTGCCAAACCCATATTTCTAAAAGAATGAAACTATTCAAAATGATGCGATTTCATCAAAAACAATAAGAAAGGAAAATTGTAGCCAAAATCACATTTTTTAAAGATGTGAGATGTGAGAAGTGCACTCGGAAGCTTCATTTTAAAAATTTTTTAAGAATACAAAATATTATAATTTTTCCAAAATTCTTTTTGTAAAAGCAGTCACAAGGATGAAAGTTTAACGTGTCCAAAAATCAAAGAAAAATAAACTGTACATTTTAAAAAATAAACTAAATCCGTTGAAATAAAAAATCCCATCGAAAAGGTGTTAAGCTTACTTTGGAAAATAAATTCATATTTACTGGATTCATTGAAACATGAAATTTATTTTAAGTTGGTAAAATAGTTAAGTGGTCTACGTTTCATGACGATGTGAAAATGGAGTGTGTAGAGTAAAATCTCGCTTTGCTATAGCCCATTATGTCTCAAAATGACGCGATTTTGTCACAAAACATAAAATAAAAATAAATTTGAATTCGAAAAAATCGCTTCAAGGTGCACTGACTCTTATCTAGATGCACCTATGTACCAAATTTCGTAGCCGTGGGTCTATTAGCTTACGCGCAGCGCGAACGAAAGACACAATGACACACACACAGACAGACTCTTTCTTTTATTATATGTAGAGATATTATGCATTTATTTATTATTATTGCCAGAATTGTAAAAAATTGCATTTATAAATAAAATATGTGTAAAAAATCATTTATTGGCCTAAGAATTATAAAAAGTATCATTACTCCTTTAATATTGCTTTTTTCATGCATATTCTAATCCTTTGAAACTATGTTAGTCTTTTGTTGTATCATATCTTAAAGACAAAGCAAAATGTTAATCTCTTATTTTTGTATGTATAAGTATAAAATCTAACATGCAAAATGGTGTATAACTAAATTTTAAACATTTAAATGTCTTACTGTATGCAGTTAATCAAATTTTAACGTCTTCATGTATTATATTGTCCAAGTGCCGTATTAACTATATAATCCAATGTTACCTGTAATTTCATGAAATCATATATTTCTTACACTGTACAGAAGCACTACCACACTTTAAAAATCAGAGCTGTTTTCTTATGTAATAGTTTCATATTATGACATACAGTGAAAATCGTTTAACATGAAACTAAGGGGACTGAAATATTTTTTTCGTGTTAAAGGATATTGAAAAAAAAAAAAACATATATTCAACAAAATTAAGTTTATTAGAGTGCATTTTATTTACATATATATGTATATATGCATGTGTTTAATAAAAATCAATGAAACAAAAACATCCACAAGAACTTAATGAAATTTAATACAAAATTTTCAAGTTTTTTAAAAAAACAAAACATTTATTGAGCTTTTGGAAAATAATCTGATAATTTTCTTTGCATTGTCTTTTTTAGCATCAAATTGTTCAATGTCATACATTTTGTTATTCGTTTCATCACTCGAATGTGCGTCTAAATAACTGTGCATACATTTTATAATGTTCCTCATTTCGGATGACGTGGAAAGACGAGTTGTATTATTCATTTCAATTTCGTCGTCGGAATCTGCATTAATGATATTTTTTTAGCTTTGAACAAACTCCAAAATGTCTTTGTCTGGCATAATTGGGGCTGACACACATTATCATCAACTACTGCAACGAATTCTTCCAATAATACAGTAGGACAGTCCATAAATACAGAAACTTTCTCAAACATTTCATTAAGTGTCGGCTCAGTTTCAATATCCTCCTTCACCATTTCTTTTGGCACCAAAGAATCTTACACTTTTAAGAATCGTGCATGATGAAAATAATTTTCGTTCATTCTTGGAGTCACTGAATTCCAGAGTGCAACATATGAACCAAACTCACTCATTTTTACTCACAATGCGATGTACTCATCACCAAATTCCAAAGCCAACTGATGAGAGATGAGGTGTTTGTAGGGGTGGAAGGTGAAAGTAGCTTATATAAATAAAACTGGCTCATGTCACAGGCTATTCCGAGGTATTTCAAAGCCAAGTTAGCCTCCTTTCTATAAAACATTTGAAGCTATCTCTCTTTCAATTCTCATCCCACTTAAATCTCGCCTTCGAGGCTGGTGTTTTCCGTATTTTGCTCATTCCCTGAAAGGATATCTTTTCGTGTTAAGAGAAACAAACTGCATGAAAATACATAGTAGTTTGTATTTTCATGCACCATTGTATTATTTTGTGTTAAACGATATTTTGTCTTAAGCGCTTTTGCATTAAAAGTATTTCACTGTATTCTGTATCAATATTTCCCTAAATATTTTATTTGTTGTAATATATTAACATTTATTGAGATTTTTTTTTTCTTCTTCTTATAGCAGTCAGAAGTACATATTAAAGGGAAAAAACATGAAATGCAACTTGATTCTAAAGGCAGACCATCAAAATATCACAACAATAAGAATAAACATCAGAAACTTAAAAAGAAGCATAAAGAGCCAATGTATTAATCTTAATAAATATTCAACACAAATTATACACTTGAATTTATATATTGTAAATTATGTATGTCAATTGTTTTGTATTATTGATATAAAATATTTCTTATTTTAAGTTGCACAAGTTATTTTAAATGAGTATATGCTTGTCTGATTTAGTTATTTTCAAAATAGAGGTATGCTATTTTCTCAATTCACTTTACCAATCGAATGAACTTTCATTTGTCCAAAAAGAAAAAATAAGTGGTCGCTCTTTTAAATTTCATCCATTAAGAGATTTTGTCCAAAGCATGGTTTAAAAGTTAAAGTTGTTTTAGTCTACAATTTTATTGTTGGTTCAAAAAGGAAAATTTAAGGAAAGGAAGAAAGGAGATTTTAAGGAATCTCAAAACTACTGTTGAAAAAAATCAGTCATGGGGATTAGCAGCTCATTTGAGTTGATTCTCTTATCTCACAGCTCAATTGATTTTTTTCTGCTGTTCACTTCATTATCACACATTGTTCTTGTTTCACTCCCCATTCTTGAACTTATTCATCAGAATTTATTGCCAGTGAGTGATTAGTCATAAAAAAGAAGATATTCAGTTCTGTGGCAAACTGTTCTGATCTGATCCCATAAAAGAGCAGTTTTGCCCACCTCTGTTCCAAAGCAGCTATATAGCAATGGAATTGTCTGCAAAAGTATATTACTATAAGTGTCAGCCAGAAGGGGGCAAAGATTGAAGACAGATAGTTACATCATAAAATTTTTGTTTAATTATTTAATTTGGGGAGAGTTGTATGTAAATTCTTGAATACAATATTACATCAATACAGGAATGCATATACTGTGTGTGTACTGAGCATGTATCAGTACAAAAATACACTGTCTACTCCATGGTGGTGAGGGCTGTGCCCTATACATATATTCCAGCAGACATCCATGATTATCAATAATTAGTTATTTTTCTGTAGAACAGTTTGCATGTAAATTTTGCATTTTTGCTTCTTACATTTAGCAGAAATAGGAAACATTAGTCTTTAGATAAGTGAAATTGCACTGCAGTATTATTCAGAGGGATGTTTGTAGGCAATTTGTATTCTTTGCCCATGAAAAAAAAAAAAAAAAAAATCACATATAGACCCTGCTGTACAGAGAAGTTCTAGTCAGTGCTTTATGTGCAATACAATAGAACTGAATATCTAAAAATGCAGTTATTTGAATTCCCCCCTTTTTTTTTAAGGCTTAGTAAAATTAAACTTGCACACAATTTATTCACAAATTTTATTGATATTATTAATTAAAATGATAGATAATATTGTGACTACTATGCTAGTTTTCAGGTAACATCTAATGATTTATGTCGCATCCTGTTGTTATAAAATGTCAAAAAACTTTCAATTTTATGTTGAGCTGATATAAAATCGAGGCTTAGTACCAATTGTCGTTGTGTAAATATGATTTTAGTGAATTTTCCACCTAATGGAAGCAGTTTGTGATCAAAATTTATGCCACATTGTGTTGAATTTTTTTAGCTCTTGTAGTTTTGCCAAAATGGCATTATTAAAATTTGCTGAATAGAAATATTAACTCTACTCATCCAATTTTGTATCTTTCTAATTGTTCAGAGAGGTCCACTTAATTTTTTTTTAATTTTAGTGTAGATCATCAGAGCGATTAAGATTTTAAAAAAAAAAAAAAAAAACTCTTTATCTCATCTTGGAAATTATGAATAGTGGGTTGTTGTAAATGAAATGGCCAATTTTAAGGGTTTTTGAAAAAAAAAGAAGAAAACCTGTTTAGTCAAAATAATCTGTAGCTGCATCAACACATAGTTGCCAACATGTGACAAGATCATTTACTTCATGTTTGTAAAAATGTCCTTCACTGCCCAATGAATTGATACATGGTTAGTAAGGCATATCTTGACAAAAAATTGCTTAAATAGTGGGAAAATCTGTTGGGAATATGTCATGGGAGTGCAGAGCACAATTCCATATTTTAAATTTTTGATTTGGTTGACCTGCCATATGGGACTCGCAAGTTATCCTGCAGCAAAAGAACTCTACTTACAAGTGATAGCTGTTTAAAACATGTTTTATCATGCATTTGCTGTATATCTCAGGGTTCGTTGCGGTTTTTTATAAGTGCTTTTAAGTCCTTATGTTTGAAAATAAAATATAAAGGCCCTTATAGGTGCTTACTTTTTCTTTAAAGCCCCCCCCCCTTTTTTTTTTTTTTTCTATGAACACGCAATTTTCCCCTGTACTAAAGCCGAAACTAAATAAACAACTTTTCTTCCTTATATGGAACGTCAGATGGTGTATCATACTCCTGGAAATAGCTTTCTTACTCCCTTTGTAACATCATAAGGTGTATCGTACTCCCTTTCTCTGCATTAACATAACTTTTGGTGTGCACAGAGAGTACAGACAAGTGCACGTCGTTCTATTGGTCAGAGAATTGCAAAAGCTGTAGAAAACTCTGGTACATTCAGTATTCTTTTCATCCCACCCAAATACTACACACCTTTGAATTTCTATCAAAATTTTAATAATTTGCATTCTTGTTCCACGTAGTCAGTTTGTATTCGCATTTATTATGATCGTTATGCTTATATTATGAGCATATGTGTGAATATGTATAATAATATAGCTGCAGTAACTGCTGAAGTATAGATAAACTTCCAAAAATGGGTGTGTTTCAACAATATTCAGAATGGCTTAAATAAAGGGAAAATAATCGAATAGTCAAAATAATTTCATTTTTTTTCCAATACATTATACAATATGGAAGTTGGAAGGTTCTCCCCTTTCTCCGCAAAATCTCAAATATTGAAACCATTACAGTTTGCTGCAAAACAAGCAACGGACTTTTTTTTTGTCACTTCCAATATGGATTGATTAGGACTAGAAGTTCTGCGGTCTACCAACCCAAGCGAAGAATGATTCTATTCCAGAAATTTAACACAGTCTGTTCAAAATTAGAATAAAAAACACCCCTGATTGGTAAGTCTCTTTCTTTTCCATTATTTAGTTCTTTATTCTCCCAATACCAGCAGCTGTTGATTCCAATTGCGTAATATCACATAGGGAAGAATTATGGCGTACGTATCTCACTATAAAGTTTGCGATATTTTACAGAGATAATTAATTTTGAGATTTGTTTATGAACACTTAAAAGAGTTTTACTGTGCTTGCTAAGCAGAATATTTTTCAGTTCCATTGGTCTATTTTTATATGATGCACATATCGAAATGTCAAAAGCATTTATTTAACCGAAAAATCTAATGAACAGCTACAATCTACCTCCGCTCCTCTTTTTCCAGTTATGCTCGACTGTCCAAATATTCGGCAGTTTCCGAGTATGCGGGTTTGTTAAGCTTTTACTGTTAGAGGATGACTGCATGAAGCAATTTCCCGTCTTCTGATTTCAGAAATGTTCCTCTTTTTTACTTAAATTACTTTGTTTGCAATATCTGTTAAGAGAAAACTGATATACAATGAAAATTTAGAAAATGTTCAGAATTTTGATTTAAGTTAAATTATTTAAATATTAATATGAGTGGAAAAATAAATTGTATTTATTATTAGGTTCCAAGCAAATACAATAAGTATGCCTTCAATTTTGAACTGAAATTTCATCATTAAATCTTGTAATATAGTTTAGTTCTGCATAGTTTTTCCCCTCTCATTGTAAACTAGTTCTGTAAATTGAACTGTAATTTAAAATTAAAAACAAAACAAAAAAAGTAATTATTTTCTATGGTTGAGATAATGCTTATTCTCTATTAATAAATACTGCATTTCTCATATTTTAAATTACAAGTCTAATTTTTCTTTTAAGGTTATGCAGTTGTGTATAATGTATTTAGACAGGTGCTTATTTTTTTTTCTTAAAATTTGCTTGAAAAGTGCTTATAGGTGCTTATTTTTTTTAACTAAAATGTGGCTATGAATCCTGATATCTGTATACTATCAATTTGTATTTATTTTTTTACCTCGCAGGAGGAATGAACAATGAATAAAAACAGCAGAAAACCACCTTGCGAGGTAAAAAAAATCTCTTTTGGAGAACTTTCACAAGTATCCATTCTCAACCACTGAAATGAATATGTAGGACTGTTCCAGAATATCCACTTCACAGTCATAGTTCATTGTAAGAACCTTCTTTCCCTACTTCTTGAGAGAGAGGAGCATACTTCCATATGCCATATACACTTCCATAATGAAGCACCAACTTGTCAAGCTTTCATATTTTTCCTTTTATTACAGTGCTGTAAAACAGTTTGTAGTATGTACAGTAAAAATGTATCTAGTAATTGGATCATTTGTGTACATTATAGTTGATGGGATTTGATTAAATCCTATAATTTAGTATACAAGTCAATGGAGCATTTAAGATAGCTATGAAGTTAGTTTTGTATCTACTACTGTCTTAAATGAAATTTTTCAAACTTGTATCGAATGATCTTTCAATGGTTGCGTCTCCACCGAATGCTTTACTAATGCTTTGTAGTGTAGCCAGAACAAAAATCTCCTAATTTGAACTTTTAAAGATACAGCAACATTGATTGGGTTTCATAGTTGACTTGATGTCAGTAATATTTAATATTTTTAATTCTTATTAAACAAAATAAATACCACAACTGCAACTTAAAATATTTGCACAAACCTCAATATGTTTTCTTCCACAACTATTGTCTGTAAAATAGGAACTTCAAGGATATTTTATGCTTTTCAATTTGATTCTTAACTGACAACTATGTTTTTCTCTACTTGATTGTTCAACATGTTTCACTTTATGAAATGTACATGAATGAAGGCATTTGAACTGTAGTCTCAAGTGAGATGGAGAAACTAAATATGCAGTGATGATTACATGATTTACAGATGCAAATGGGAGAAGGACTGGCAACAACCTTGAAATGCCTATTTTAGTATCAAACTATAGTAGAAGTCCGATGTTATTCAACAGCCATTTTATTTGCTTCAACCCAATGCATTTTCTTTTGAGTACAAATTATACAGTTTGAGCATCCACTAATTACTGATCTAAATGAGTGATTAGAGAAAAAAAAATTATTTATTTATTTGTGGCATTCTTTGTGGATAGAATCAAGATTTATTTTCTAT